TTCTAAAAGAAAAAGGTAGAATCCAAATCGATAGTCTTAACGCTTTAAACTATGTTTTGTTGTTAAAATGGGGGTTGTAATTCTTTAATGTGACTAACTCTTTATGGTTTAATCTTATTTCACAAATTTATGGAAAAAAACTAATAAAAATCCATTTGATGTTAGTCACATATGCGGTGGTGGTGTCAGGGCTCGTATAGTTGGTTATGTTAATAGCATCCATGAGAAATGTATAATTTCTTTATCCTCCCTTAAAATACGAATTGGAGGTGGGAGGTGTATGAGTTTTTGGTCTGATATTTGGATTAGTGACATACCTCTAAAGTCTCGATTTCATATACTTTTTCAATTAGAAAATATAAACGATTGTTCAGCTCATGATCCACTAGCTCGTGGTCATTGCTAGTCTTAGAGTCAACAAATAAGAGTTAGAATTAATCAGACTCAGTTGGATGATTTAAATCGACTCATTGGTATTTTCATATTTCTAATGATAGTGACTATTGGAAAGGGGATTTGGATGGTATCTAGAAGATATATTGATAATGTTATGCTTTTTGACACTAATACCCCTACAAGATGGAATCGATTTCTTCCAAAGAAAGTTAATATTTTTATGGCCTTGTTTACTTGATTGGTTACCTAATATGTGGAAGTTGATCTTTAAAGAGGTCAAAGTTCACTCCTTATTATGTCTTCTTTGTTTGATGGCAGTAGAAAGACTTGATCACCTTCTTATTTTTTGTGAATTGGCTTCTAGTTTATGGACCAAAGTATTTAAATGGTGTGATATGGTGAACCATAATTTGTGAACTTTTATGGACATCTTTTCTTGGATCGATGAATTATTAGGTGGGATGAAGAAACAAGATAATATAAAAGCTATTATTGTTATGGTGCTTTAGTTGGTTTATTCTGAAAAGGGAATCTGATTTTTGATAACTTGGTTGATCTTTCTTTTAATTGGTTTATTGTAAGAAACTCAAATGTTTCTGTTGGATGGTTTCATTGGTTGCCATACCCTTTCCTAGATTTGTCTTTGTACTTGTGTAGGTTCTTCCTAGCGTTTCTTTATAAAATGTAGTTGTTAAAAAAACAGCACATAAGACTCCCTAAGTTTGGTGTGTCTGGCATAGTTGCTCTAAAATATTTGATTTGACCTCAATTAAAGGGGGTGAACTAGGGCTTGGTTAATATCTTCTAGGGCTTTGATTTTGTATAATGGTCTCCTAAATCTTAGTTTCCTATCAAAAGGGGATTCATATTGCTTTACAAGAAGCAGTAAACCATAATGTTTCCTATGGTGCAAAAATTAGCAGCAATGGGATCACTATCCTATGTTTTTACATTGATCATGCAATAATTTTGTAGAAGTATCATAATAAAGTATTATATGAATTATAAGAATTTTACAATGTTTCCATTTAGCATTTGATCATAAAATTATTATACAAAAAACAAATTGGTAGGTGTTGATGCGATTTCGGTTAATATTGAACCGATAAAGGGAGTAATATCATGTTGTTCTATTTGATAACCTTTCTTCTACCCAATGATTAAGGTTGTTTCCAAAATTTTATGAATTAAGTATCGCAAAGAAATCATTGATATATTCACTATTAAACTATAACATCCTAAATTTTAGTAAATGGTTGACTTGATCAACTATGTAAGTGTTTTAATGGAATATAGTTGGACTTGGTTTTTATATCAGATGGATTTTTATTTTTGTGTATAAAATATATAAGTTTGGAACTTATATGAAATTATCCCATAATCTTTATCGATTTTTAAAGACTTATAAATGTTAAATAAATGAATTGATATGATATTGATCATCAAATTTAATAATATGTATCAAGATGTAATTTTTTTAGGATAATGTATTATATGAGAAAGTATACTTTTTGATGTTTTAGTAATATTTTCAAATCTATCTGTCTTTTATAAAAGAGGTCATTAAAACTCATATTGTTAGAGATTATTTGTTTTCTCAAACCATATAGATTTGAAGCCAAAATGACCTTTCACATTCCTTAATTAATAGCATTTATAATATTTATAAACTTCCAATAACTTTGTGCATTATCTCATTATATATGTAGTTATATTACTACTCATTTCTCACAAAAAGCCTTCATGTTGTTGAAGGTTTTGTGATTCAAATATTGCAATGTAGTGTTTTTTTTTGGAATAATAACTATATTAACAGTTTCTTCTCACAAAAAGATTTCATGTAGTTTAATCGTGTATGAATCATATATGAAGAGTTGAAGAAGTGGGTTATGTTGCATCAATGGTAGTTGTAATATGATTTTCTTTAGTTAATAATGCTTGAAATTTGATAAAATATGTAACTAAAGCTTTCCAGCTACAAGCCACTATTTTATATGACTTAAAGGGAGTATTTGAGTTTGAATAGAAGTGAGAACAAGAGCCCAAACCCATAAACTCTATTTATTTCTATTTTTTTTTATCTTTATGTGTCTATCTAGATACCTTATCTATCTAGGTGTATCTTTAGGGTTTTTCTTCAAAAAAATAAAACAAAAAGCTCCAAAATTGGAGTTATACTCTTGAATAAGGAAATAGGCTCCGTGGTTCCTAAATATATTGGCTCTAAACTCATTTTCACTCTCTTTGTTTGACATAGAGGTTATGCTCTCGGGTTTGGAGGTTTATGTGATGTTTTCTCTTACAATTGTTTTCTAAAACTTGATACTTATTTCTAGAAATGAAAATCTATTGTCCACTTTTGTCTCTAACTCTTCAATTCTTGAATGATTTTTTAATTGAGATATTCTGGCTATATAAAAACATTTGCTTATTTTATTTTTTTCATTTTCATTATCCATAATGGATTAGAATGGAGATGTTCAAAAATGTTTGGTTGATTTCTTCCACATCTTTTTTCCATCTATTTTCTTTAAATTCCATAACAAATAGAAGACAACCCAAAAGATTTTGGTATTTATTGATAAAAAAGAAATATCTTTTCAAGGCTTATGTAGATGAAGAAAAAATGTCTTTTAATGGATTTTGTTCACATTGATCAAACAAGTACACACACAAACTCAAACTCATATGGCTTCTATTCACATTGATCAAATAAGTACACACCCAAACTCAAATTCAGTCTATTTCTTATAACAATGGTCGTTCAAACTCATATGGTTAGAGAGAATTTGCTTTCTCAAACCATATCGCTTTGAAACTTAAATAAACTTTCACATTCCTTGATTAATAACATTCATAATATTTATAAACTTCCAATAAAATTTTCCCTTCTCTCATTGTATATGTAGCTATATTAGTATTCATTTCTCACAAAAAGTATTCATTTTGTTGAGGGTTTTTTGATTCAAATATTGTAGTATTTTTTTTTTTTTTGTTTTTTGGAATAATAGCTATATTAGTAACATTTTCACACAAAAAGCTTTCATGTAGTTCAAGCGTTTATTATTCAAATATGAAGAGTTGAAGAAGTGTACTATGTTGTAGTAATGGTTGTAATATGATTTTCTATAGGTAATAATGCTTGATATTCGATAAAAAGCTTGAACAAATCCTCTCAAACTTCTAGCCACTATTTTTTACAACTTAATGGGAGTATTTGGGACATAATAAAAGCATGAACAAGATACTAATCGCATAAAATCTTTTCCTTCTCTTTTTTTATCTGCTAGCATTTCTCTAGATACCTTATTCTCTAAGTGTTTCTTTGTGCTTTTTATTCACCAATACAAGACACAATGCTTTGGAATTGGAGATATACTTATTAGTAATGAAATAGGCTATGTCTCCCCTTAATATAATGACTCTAAACTCATTTTTACTCACTTTTTTTAACATATAGATTATGCTCTTGGGTTTGGAACTTTATGTGGGATTTTCTCAAACATTTTTAATGTTATAGCTCCAATACTATCTTGAACACGAACTGGAATCATGAATCTATAACAATTGAAAAGCCATATTATTCAAGATAAATTGTAAAATAAAATATTTATGAAAATGTGTCTAGTAAAATCATAAACGTAGGAACAACTGAATTGATCCGGTCACATCTGGTTCATCGAAAATAATGTTTTCAACTGCTTTGGTATTGCATTTTGTACATGCTTGATATTACCATGGTGCAATTTGAAGAATTCCCTCTATCTTGGTGACAATAACAAACTTATTTTTCCGAGTAAATATAGTGAAATGTATTATAATTTTCATTAAATATTTAGTAATGAAATGCAAGTATGTAATAAATTTTTTAGAATTTTTTTTACTTTAAGTGTCTTGAAAATTTTAATTGTCTTCAGCTCATGCTTAAGTATGAAATAATCATTTTTAGAAATTTTATTAGATGGAATAATGGTGAAAGTACTAGAGGAGTTTTCACTACTAGAAAAAAGGCCTTTTACGACGCGCAAAATACGACGCTCATTGATCTATGTTACGCAAAGGAGAGTGACATTAGAAAAATGTCATCTCTTCAAAAAATTTAAGGATAGAAGACACGCATTATTGCGCGCCCTTAAATCAGTGTCTAAAAAAAACACGGAGGGCACCTATAATAAAATGCGCGTCGTCTAAGGATGTCGCTTTATAATTTTTAATGGAACGCGCGTTCCATCCTTTAACAGTAGGGGGAAATGAAATTCTGAAAAAATTAAAAATCCCGCCTTCCTTTTTTTTCTCCTTTCCCTCTTGCCCATATTATGGACGCTCCTTCCTTCCCCCTCCCGACATTGACTGCTGCCTACTTCTTCCCTCACTTCTACCTACTGGAACCACCATATCTCCCACTCGATGTTGAAATTGTTAGAAAAAGCCCTAATTATACTCTCAAGTCTAAATACAGAAAAAATAGAAGATGGTGAAGAAGTAGCAGTAGAGGAAGTGGAGGATGAACAGTCGAAAATGGAAGGAATGGCATCAATAGCGTTGTTACTAGATGGGTCAATCTCGGGTCATTTTGTTCAGCTTCCCGAGTCCGTTTATTACCAATGGGTCAATCTTGTCTTTTCGTCTCGACTTCATATCTCTCTGTAAAGCAACCGACGACTTCATATCAGAAGTGGAGGTGGCAGCCTAAAGACTGTAATTTGCCAAAGTAAGCATACTCTGTTCTTCCACTTTTTAAAATCGAATTAATTGTTGAATTCTTGATGATTTTAATTGTGTGTTTTGGGGGAAATGAAATGAAGGTTTATAGGGAAATTGTTGGTGGAGAAATCGAAGAACAAGAGGCTTATGTTCGTTGGAGATTCGTTGAATAGAAATCAATGGTGTGCATGGTTCAATCCATAGTTACAGGATTCGCCAAAGTAGTCATGATCCACGTTCCAAACGACTCGATCCCAAACGGGGTACGATTGCGTACCGATCACCAACAGAAACGCCCTCCGGTACGTCATGCTTGCGATCCCACCAATTCTTTAAATCGATACCTGAAACGTGAAATTGGCAAATTGGATTGCACAGAAACACGATCGGGATCGGGAATTTTGGTTTTGGAACGCCGATTTGTGAAATTGGCGGGAAATTGTTTTTATCCGGAGAAAAGTCACTGATGCTTGATTTATTCCTTAAGCCCTCGATTCTATGTTAGGTGTTTGGACTTCCAGATCTGATTCTTCTTTATCACTTTTAATAATATATAATATCTATAACACTTATCCAATATCATCACTTTACCATGATTTCACTTTTGTTCTACACCTTTCAAGAAGAGTTGTTGATGGAAGAGAGATGATGGTTTAATTTGCCAAATATGGGCCTAATGCTGAAAAAATGTGAGTCACATTCACATATAATCTAATATATTTCTAAATTCCAAGAATCAGATATGAAAAAGTATATGGTTGTTTGACTAATGTGGTTGTTTTTATTCTTGTTTTAGTCACAAGGGAAGGATACTTGAACCAGTAGAAAAGCTGAAGGGTGGATTAAGGAGCCGAAGTCCTAGACCAAGGTATGATGAGAATGTAGTTTTGACCATTCTACCCTTGTATTGGAGTTGATGTTTACCCAATGTAGTTCTAGGTATAGAGATGAATACAAGGGCTACAGGAGGATAAGTCGCAGCAGTAGCAGGGAAAGGTATTATGGAAGGGACAAAGATCGTTACAGAAGTAGGACCCTCATGCAGTAGGAGTAGGATCCCTGATTATCATAGAAGAAACAGGAGGGGTAGATATGATGATGATTATGATGATGAGAGAAGCCCAAGTAGGTCTCCTATAAGGTAAAAAGATGTAAATGCCCTTATCATTAAAAATAGCATCCGTAAAAAGTTTTGTTTGTCTGTTGAAAGTTGATGTTTCATTAGAAACCTGATGGACTATTCACTATTCTATATGTGTTTGTTACTTACATAGAAGTACTAGTGTTGAAAAGACTAGAATGCCCTTATCATGTGATGTGTCAATAAACTGATGGATTACACAGAAGCAGGTCTCCTCCACGTAGGAGTAGGTCACCTTCTAGAAGCAGAAGCCCTGAAGGAGGAGGAAATGAGAAAGCATCAACATCATCACCCTATTCCCATGGTAGAGCTGATTCTAGAAGCCCTTTGCAGCGTTCTGATTCCAATGTAAGTTTTTTTTACCTGTGGAATCATTGATTCCGAGTGTTGATATTTTTTTATTGATTAATTTTTATCTTATCTTTTATATATTATTAATTATTATTAACCCTTGGTTGTGGTATAATATGTAGGGTTTGCCTGGACCAATGGGGTTGATGAGTACTAGTCATTTGGAACAAGAAGCTGCAGTACTTGCTTTGTCAACTTATGCAAAATTTGAAAAGGTAATTTTTTTTTATTTATGAACTTTCAAAGCAACTTTTATTGTTTTACATCACTTGAATTTTAGTGCATTAGGTCGTATAATATGTTGAAATGTTGAACGTTTTATGATGAGATTGTTTCAAATAAGGGAAGTAGAATAAAGGATAAATTAATTCATAATGTCTATGAAACCCCGTATACCCTTCTCTTGAACGGTGAAATAAATTATAGAGGCGAGATAGAACAAAGGAGTATGGGGTGGCTGAATTATTCCATTTGGATCCTCATTACACAATAACTTTATGTTTAAACCATATAAAAGTGTGTCTAGCTTTGTATGATCCAGTTGCAGCAAAAGATAAATTATTCAATTTTTTCAGCATCTGTTGTGTATGGTGATAGTTTTGTTTAGGTTGCACCCACTAAGAATGTATTAGCTTTTTTAGCATCTGTTGGAAAGTGAATGTTCAAAAGGAAAAAACGATATAAGTGCACATTTGTTACTATGCTAATATGAATTGAGGATTAAGCTATTAGTTTCTAAATCACAAACAGTGTTTGCTGCCTTTCTTAATCTATCTGAATACGAAATCAAGCCTGTGTTTATATTTGATTTGATTGTTTATGTGAGTTTTTGGTTGATTTTGGTTTAATGTTGTGATTGAAAGTAGGGTTTGTTAGAATATAATGTTGCAGAAATTATCCTTATGGGATGTTAATGTTCCTATTTGTTTTCATTTATGCAGGTAGCAATCTTGTTGAAAGGACTTATGAATCAGATATTAATGGTAACAAGTTTAACACTCGAGTCCATACAATTAGATGTTAATGGTAACAAGTTTAACACATGTGTCTTTGTTATACATACAAATTGAATGCAATGGATTGTATTTTTTGTATATGGTATTTCATTTTATATTATGCAATGGATTGTATTTTTTGTATATGGTATTTTATTTCTATTATAAGAGATTAAATGCAAATTTAATTTATAAATTAATAAATATATAAATATATTTTTTTAAAAAAAAATTAAAATTATGATACGCAAAAATGTGTGTCGTCTTCATTTATGACATGGCCTTTCTTGACTGGTGCTTCCTTGATACGCATTGCGTGTCATAAACACGCGCGTCGAAGGTTACGACATGCAAATGCGTGTCGTCTTCCTTTATGACAGGGCCTTTCTTGATACGCATTGCGTGTCATAACCGCGCGTCGTAAATGCGTGTCATAAATGTGCGTCGTAAATGCGCGTCGTCTATAGACGACGCGTAAAAGCGCGTCATCTCTCTTTATGACAGGGCCTTCTTGACGCGCATTTGCGCGTCGTCTGAGCGTTTTACGACGCGCAATGAGCGTCGTAAAAGGCCTTTTTTCTAGTAGTGTTTCATGGGGACAATCTTCATCTAGACTGTTAATCAATAAAAATTTTATACGCTATACTAATATTTATTTGATAACAAATAGTTAGGAAGTAAAGCAGATAACTAGCAAAATCAAAAGCACAAAAGACACAATATTTATGTGGTTCGGTCAAGGTGACCTACTATCAAGGGAACGAAGGGAGTATTCTTTATATTTATGAGCTCTCAAATAGAGGTTACAAGTACAAAATCATAGAGATTCGCCTATCACTGTAGAACACAAGACAATTTAAATGACTTAGCATGCATCCCTATGTATAATAATAGGATCAAACCTAAAACCCTAATGGGCTAATCCTATTGGACCATAGGCTTCTGGAACGTTCATCAATGACATACAACACATGAGTATCAACAACATAGATGATAGAGTACCATAAGCCATATTGGAGCATCATGATACACACGTGGCACATCATGAACACTAGTGACCCAATATGGTGTATTCCTTGAACATCACCAACTTCGGATCATCCATGAACAATCTTGAGCATGATAGAAGAGTTAATATCATATGTGGCTAATCAGGGATACCACTGTGGCTCACTTCGCACCAACATGACTTAACTTGCACGTTGATGGGCCATCTTTTGCAAGCACGGTATAACATCATTCAAGCATGGTACAAGATCTTCCACTTGGCACAACATCAATCACTTTGATGCAACATCTTCCATGAAGGTGCAAGATCTTCCACTTGGTGCAACATCTTTCATGAATGGTGCATGATCTTCATGAATGGCAGAATATGTACCATGAGTGGAACAACATCTTCATGGCACAACTTGTTTCTCCATTCCTCTCCCAAGTGCTACAAGTTTCTCCAAGTTGCTCCAAGTGCACCAAGTTACTCCAAGTGCTCCAAGTTGCTCCTAATTCTCAAGTCATATTGAACAATCTACAGCTAGACTTGAGAATCCTAGGAACTCCGCCTTAAAAAAAATCTTCTCCCTTCCTGCCATCAAGACTTGAAGGGGTTTAACACCTGTAAACATCAAACAAGTCCAGGAAAATCTTGAAGTTCTCCATGGGCAAGGACATCCTCATAATATCTACTAGGTTCACCTTTATATCAATCTTTATTATTGAAAAATTTTCTTCTTCTAAAATATCCCAAATGAAATTTTTTCTAACATCAATATACTTTGTATTCTCTTGATAAACATGATTCTTTGCAAGTCTCAATGCACTCTAACCGTCACAATATAAGATAGGCTTCTCCACCTTTAGACCAAGACTGAATAAGCCTGTTTAAACATATTTGTTCCTTTATTCCTTCTTTCATAGACATGTAATCATATTTAGTTGTAGAAAAATCAACATTATTTGGTAACACTGACTTCCAATCAATGGCATATCCGAATAAACCAAATATGTAACACGTCCGTGACACGCGCTTCAAAAAATACCACCATGATTAAATTCAACATATTTAACCAAATCACTTTTTGTATTAGCTCCATACATTAGGAAAAAATCTTTTGTTACTTTCAAGTATCCCATGATCCATTTGACTTCTTCCCAATGAGCCTTCCCTAGGTTGCTCATTAACATGCTTACCACACTAACGAAATGAGCCAAATCAGGTCTGGTACAGACCATTACATACATGAGACTTCCAACTACACTGGAGTATGGAACCCTTCACGTATACTTCCTTTCTTCATTAGTTGTGGGTATAGTATCTGGTCCAAGTTAAAAGTGTCCCACCAAAGGAGTTCCAACTAGTTTGGACTTATCACAATGGAATGACTACATAACTTACTCATTGTACTTTTTTTTTCATAAATAAACAACCGCCATGCTTTTCTATACCTTAAAATCTACATCATAATTATCTTCTTTGCTTCTCCTGAATCCTTTGTCTCAAACTCATTCTTCATGCACACCCTCAAGTCATTTATTCCATCCATGTCCTTGGTTGTGATGAGCATGTCATCAATATATAGCAACAAATATTTGTAGGAATGTGGTGCTAATTCCTTTGAGTAAACATGGTTGTCAAACTGGTTCTGAGTGTAGCAATATGAGATCATGAATGAATCAAACCATATGGAGATTTCTTTAGCAAACATAAATGGTCCTTCTTAGAATCAAGGAACCCCTCTATATGTGACATGTAAATCTTATTTTCTAAGTTCTCATGAAGAAATGTAGTTTTCAGATCAAGTTGCTCAAGCTCCATATCAGCATGGCCAAAAGAATCCAAAGTAGCTTGTTCTTCACAATCTGTGAAAACACCTAGTGATAACCAATTCCTTCTTTTTGATAAAACCATTTCGCCAATAACCTTGCCTTGAACCTAGTTGGATCAACTCCTGGTATCCATTCCTTCTTCTTAAAGATCCATTTCCACCATATTGGTTTTTCTCCCTTTGTTAATGGGTTAACATCCCAGGTTTAAATTGTATTTCTTCATTCACGTCCATCAACCAATTTGTTGCTTCTTTACTTACCACTAACTCTTTGTATGATTGAGGCTTCTCAGTGTCAGTGTCTTTTCCAGTTGCTAATGCAAAAGTAATGGAGTCAAGTTCACCAGAATTAACACATCCTGTATATCTATTGGATTGTCGAATAACCCCTTTTGATCTTCTCCTTCCTATAGTTTCTTGTATATCACCCTTTTCGATATTAGTGCCACTAGACAAATATCCCATGGGTTACTCTTGGGTATTTTCTTGTCTAGGATGTTCACTACCACCTTGCTCTTTATCACTTATTATAATTTTTTCTGGAGTTTGAGATGCAAACTCTACCTTTTGGTTAGCACCTTGATCTTTGTTCCCTTGTTGACTTGTATCACCTCTTCTCTAGTTGCCCATGTCAAATTCATAAAAGGTTACATCTCTTCTCATGATAAATTTAGGAGTTCTTACATCTTTTGTACACCACATCAACAACCTTCTACTCTTGTCACATATCCTAGAAATATGCACTTCATTTCGATTAGCTTATGCTTACCATCATTCACATGAGCATAAGCAGGGCATCCGAATATACACAAACCAAAATAGTCAAATGTTATCCTACACCATAGTCTTCAAGTCTATAATAGTAGATGGTGATCTGTTCACTAGATAGCAAGAAGTGTTAACTGCTTCCAAACAAAATTGCTTAGATAAGTTAGCAAATATCCGCATATACCTTGCACACTCCATGACTATTTGGTTTAGCCATTATGCCATTCCATTTTGTTGTGGTGTATTTCGTACAGTGTGGTGCCTTATTATACCTTTTACCTTAAAAAAATTATCAAATGGAGCATTGCATAATCCAAACCATTGTCAGTCCTCAGGTTTTTAACCTATTTTCAAGTCCTTTGTTCAACCATCGTCTTCCACTCCTTGAACTTCCCAAACACCTCATCTTTGGTCTTTTGAAAGTACACCTAAACCTTCCTTGATTAATCATCATTGAAAGTCAAAAAGTATGAGAATCTACTATGAGACTTCATTGGAGTTGGGCCCTACAAATGTGAGTGAACATATTCCATGATTTCCTTACTTGTGTGTTGACACGTACCAAACTTCACTTTGCGATGCTTTCCTTTTATGCAAGCTTCATAAAACTTTATCTTTCCATTAACCTCTCTACCAAACTATCCATGTTTACTTTTAACTGACAGACCCTTATCACCCATGTGTCCCAAACTATACTGCCATAACTTTGTCTTTTCATCATCTTCATTCAAGGATTGAGAGATAGCTACCATTCCTATAACCGTATTGCCTTTTAGGATAAATAAATATGTCCATGATTCATCCTCCTTTCATTAAATCAGAGAATATTTGCAGACTTTGAACCAATTTCCCTCACCAGCATATCTGATCTCATTCTTAGCCAAAGTCCCAAGATAAATTATATTTTTTCAAAGTTCTAGAACGTACCAACAATCTAACTTTATGACCATACCCTCGTGCATCTTGACCTGCATAGTGTCACTACCCTTGATAATGCTCACCCAGTGATCACCCATCTTGAATTTGTCATTCCACTCTATAAATGAGTACAACCATTCAGGATTGTAATTCATATGATATGCTGCTCCAAAATCCAAAACCCAAGCATCTATAGAACTAGATATGCTTACAGCCAGTACCTTACTATCGTAACGATCATAATAGCTCTCCTAAACCACAATAGATTTTATTGATTATTGATTCGCTCTTGAACTTTTCATTCTTTAGCTGTAGACAATTTCACTTGAAGTTCTGCTTTTCATTGCAGTTATAACATCTAGCATTTGATGAACCTTTAGAATTTGATTTTAAATGTAATCTCCCTCCCCCCCCCCCCCCCTTCCTCTCTGTTGTCTTTCCTCTCCCTACACACAAACCAGAACTGGACACCTCTTCTCTAATTGAAACTTTATTTTTTAGTTCCTTGGACATTAGATAAGCATTCACAACATTAACAATGACCATTTTCCTACCATAGAGCATAGCATCAACAAAATTCTCATATGAGTTCGAAAGAGAATATAAGATAATGAGCACCTAAACTCCATCATCAATATTCACATCAACTCCTTTTATATCTAAGATAACGTAACTGAAGTTATCTAGATGATCTTTCATTTGGGTACTTTCAGACATTCGGAGAGTGTACAAATGTTCCTTTTGAAACAACATGTTCGTCAGAGAGTTGTTATGGTACTTGTCATAATGTTTATCTTAGATCCCATAGGTAGTTGTTTAATCCATGACCTTCCACAATACTTCATATCTCAAACTTAATATAATGGAACTATGTGCCTTTTTTAGAATGACCACCTTCTTATCAGCCGCCATGTCCTTTGGCAATTTTATCTCACCTTCAAGTGCCACTGCACATCCTTGTTGAACTAGAAGAGCCTTCATCTTAACCTTCCATAAATCTAAGAGATTTGAAACATTGAACTTCCCCATATCCAACTTATGAGTATACATCTACAATCACGGGCATGCCAAGTGCAACTCTGATACCACTTGTTAGGAAGTAAAGAGGATATATAGCAAAACCAAAAGCACTGGCGACAAAATATTTACATAGTTCAGTCAATGTGAGATGTATCAACGTGCAGGAGGGGATTACTCTTTATATTTATGAGCTCTCAAACATAGGTTACAAGTACAAAATCATATATATTTACCTATCACTCTAGAATACAAGACACTTCAAAAGACTTAGCATACATCCCTATTTACACTAAAGGAATCAGACCTAAAAAAACTAATACTATAATCCCATTGGCCCATATGCCCATGAAATGTGTCAACCAATCATAATCTGCCATGCAGTAGATTCTAGAACATTCATTTGTGACATACAACACATGATTATTAGCAACACACATGATGGAGCACCATGAGCCATAGTGGAGCATTATGAAACATAGGCGGCGCATCATGAACACCAGTGGCCCAACATCCAACATGGTGACACAACATGGTGTCTTCAATGAGCATCACCAACTTCTAAGCATCCTTGAACAATCTTGAGCATCATAAAAGACTTTATAGCATATGTGCCTCATCCGGGATACCACCATGACCCACCTTGCACCAAGATGGTGTAACTTGCATAATGATGGTTCATCTTGTGCAAGGATGGCACAGAATCCTTCAAGCATGGTGCAAGATCTTCGACTTGGTGCAACATCAATCATTTTGGTGCAAAATAATCCATGAATGATGCAAGATCTTGAACTTGGAGAAATATCTGTCACTTTGGGGTAAAAACTTCCACGAATGGCGCAGGATCTTCATCAATGGTGTAACATGTGTGATGAGTGGTGGAACATCTCCGTGAATGGCTCAACATCTTCATGAATGACACAACATGTTGCTCCATTCCACTGCCAAGTGCTTGAAGTTGCTCTACGTTGCTCCAAATCCTCCAAGTTACTCAAATTGCTCCAAGTTACTCTAAATGCTCAAGTAACATTTAACACAAATAAAATTGTAAAATGTAGTATACCTTCTATTGAA